TAAAGAATGAAAAAGGTTTTTAAAAAAAACTGACATACAAAATGAAGTGAAAATAGCCTGTTTTGTGTATTTTGGGCATTTCAACATTATTAGTCCCCGTTCAAACGAAGTCCGAAAACGGGGACTTATAATTTGGTCTCCATCCGTCTGTGCATCCGTGCGTTCGTCCGGAGTCGTATCTCAGAATCCCTTGGACCGATTCTGTTCATCCTTTGCTTGTGCCTAGTACTTTATGTGGGACATATGCACATGCAGTGGTTTAACGATTCAATTCGTTTTTTGAAAATGTTGTATTTTGGACATGCTTTGTCAGTTTTCATTCAAACTTGATACATAGATTATACATGTCCATGACGATTTATTTCACAATTGGATCAAAGATGGCCGACTGGTAGCCATCTTGTTTTTTGAAAATTTCGTATTTTGGACATGCTTTGTCAGTTTTCACTCAAATTTAGTACATAGATCATACATGTTAGGATACATGTCCCCGACTGTCCGTAAGTTCCCGAGTCTGTCCATCCGCCTGTCCGTCCATGTGTCCGTGCTCAGTCTGTCCAGAGTCATATTTCAGAATCATGTGGACCGATTCTGTTCATTCTTTGCATGTGCCTAGTACCTTATGTGGGACATATGCACATGTAGTGGTTTAGCGATTTGATTCAAAATGGCTGACTGGCAGCCATCTTGTTTTTGAAAATGTTGTATTTTGGTCATGCTTTGTCAGTTGTCATTCAGACTTGGTACATAGATTATACGTGTTAGGATACATGTCCATGACGATTTATTCCGCAATTGGATCAAAGATGGTCAACTGACAGGCATCTTGTTTTTGTTTTTTTATGCGGTATCTTGGACGTGCTCTGTCAGTTTTCATTCAAATTTGGCACATACATGTACTTTATACATGTTAGGATGCATGTCCATGACAATTTGTTCCAAAATCTGGTCAAGGATGGCCGATTGACAGCCATCTGACTTTTTGGCCTTACTACTATTATAGTTCCACAATTTACGTAAAATTTTCATTTGGCACATACATCATACATATTAATGTGTTTTATAATCAGATCAAAGATGGCCGAATAACGGCTGTTTTTATTTTTGGCCATATTACTACTACACGGAACACGTGTTTTGATGTAAATAAACAATCTGTTGTATACTGCACTTGGAACTCAAGTTTCAAGGACACGCTTGCGACAACCCCTCTGCTTTAATATGACGAGCACAAAGAGAACTTTCAAAAATTTTACGGGGACTGTGTCATATTCAATGACTTGTTTCTCAGTGTCTCAGTTAGCAGTCTGTAGTTAAATGATCGTATCTAGAAAACAAAAGCTGGTAAAGAAAAGTCAAAACAAAAAGACTTGGCCCACAGCATTAAAAATGTTTTTGGCAATTCACAGGTATCTCGTGGACCTGACAATATCACAAAATGGTGTTTTCAATGTTTTGAATAGTAATAAATAAATCATCAGGTAATCCCCTCATGAAATTTCTACAGGCATATGCACTACCATATTCATCTTTATCTCAGCTTTCAGATAATGTAAAGGTTGTTATAGTAGCAGGCTTTGCAACTTTCAGAGAAGGTCACAGATTAACAAATCACAGATTAACTATGCTGCTGCCTTAAAGGGTGGTGATTGTCGCACAGTGCATGTTTAAATTTCATGTAAACAAGCGTCACTGTGAGTCACGAACACGACATGAGCTATGACCTATAATCTTTAGGCAGTGGATATATGCCAAGTCTATACAAATTCATAACTGAACAGCAAGATACAAACTTATCGATTTTAACCACTTATTATGTTTATTCATTATTCAAGGACAAATATCATTCCTCCAAGAAGTTTGCAAATTTTCCAGTTCTCGTTACCCAGTTCGGTAAGTGTTCATATTGATCTCTTCCATATGAAAGGATTAAAAACATCAGTGGCATGTCCTGTAGTTCTAATTGCCAGTCATTAGTACACTCATCTGGATTTTTTGGAGTGTTATTACCGTACTTATCCGGGTAAGAGCCCATGCCTGGGCAAATGCCCACCCCCCACTTTTGACACAATAAAGGAGTTGAGGTCATATCCGGGCACACGCCCAGGGGGTCTTTTTCTACACAAAAAAAACTATTTTCTATTCGTTGACTGTGGTTGTATTAACAGTTGACTTTCTTGAAGACTGTCGTGATACTTATAAAAAATGTTAATTGCGTATTAAAAACAAGGGGTGAACGCAAAATAGCTGTGACAGCTTTCTGCCTTCAGGGCAGCGCCTTCTGAATCATAACAGTCAGCAAGTCTATAAAAATATATATTAAAGCAGAAACGGTAGTTCTCTTTTTAAAATATGTCTTGGCCCTAAAAATGGCCGGCCGTTTGGTTTGTGCTTCCTTAGTAACTTAGAGATGATTCAGCAAATCGTAAAAGGAGAGCCGCAAGTGTCGCACTCGATCGGCTTTAGCGCCGTCGACATGAAACCATGTTG